AAATGTAAAGCGCATTGAGACAATGTAATGTTGTGATAATGCGCTATATAAATACAATTGAATTAAAATTGAATTGAAAAATTGGTTTTGCTAGTTTCATACCGGTGCCTGCCTCATTTTCATGCGTGAACGTCGTCAAAAGAGCAAATGATTTTGCACCCGCTTCACGCTTGTCGGAGGTGTGGCTGGGCACATTGTTGACACGTTGCTATTTTAAGGCAGGCTAAATGACATTTTGCTTTTGAGTTCATTATCAGAATTAAGCTCGTACTGTAATTGAAAAAACATTTAGACTGCTGAAAATATGTTACAGATATTTAGACATTTAGACAACAATCTTTGTGGCATGTTGTATGTAGCGTAACATTACCATGCATGATGGATGTATGTTGGACATAAATAAGGACACATTAGAGGACTTTAGAAGACGTGATGCTGAACTGCATGTGCCAATGCCAACAAAGGATTGTACGCCGGCAGCAACGCGGGCAAGGAGGGATCGGCTGGCAGAAGAGCTGAATCGTGTGTAGTCTGGTAAGGAATCAATATTGTGAGATGTAGAAAAATAACAACCCTATTGCATTTTATTTGAATCTTTTAAAACACATTAAAAACTGTGGGTTGTGTTTTATTTGAACAAAGATTGCACTTTATATTTTGTGAACTACAGACTAGAGATGTAACTCAGCTCACGATTCGATTCACGATTCTGATTTCACGATATGATTTTCTCACGATTTTTTAACAGAATGAGCTGCAGACAAATTTATTCAGAAATACTCCTTTATTTATCTTTCTAAACTGTGCAAAACGTGTCCTCTTAACAGTGCAACTGAAATTGAATAAAATACTGTTTTACAAAAATCCCAAATCAAAATAAGTAAGTAAGTAAATAAATAAATAAATAAAAACTAAGGCTTGCATGTGCAACTTTTTAGCGTGGTTTGCCCTTTTAATAATCTTCGCTCTGGCAGTAGTGAATTGAGCTCACTGTGGTGCCGGTGGACATGCTGAAGCATGTTCGTTGTGCTATTTGTGTATGTTATCAGTCTTTTGCTCGCAGTTTTTGTCTTGTCTGTGCTTTTCTCGCCATTTTCGTTTATGATTACCGGAAAGCTAAAATGCTGTCACACTGCCAATTTAAGATCAGGTGGTGCTTCTATCTATCCATTTTCTGAAACCGCTTAATCCCAACTGGGGTCGTGGGGAGGGACCGGAGTCTATCCAGGGAACAAAGGGTGCAGACGGGAAACAACCCTGGGCAGTCGCCAACACACCACAGGGCGCACACACTCACACAACTACAGGGCCAATTTAGACTCACCAATCAACCTGCCCTGCACACTTTTGGACCGTGGGAGGAAACCGGAGCCCCCAGAGAAAATCCAAGCGAACAAGGGGAGAGCGTGCGAACTGCACACAGAAAGGAGCCGGGACCAAACTCAGGACCTTCTTGCTGCGAGGCGCTAACCACTGCGCCACCCGGCAGTGTGTCCTCAATTTCAAATTTACTCGCCATCTTGCGTTCGGTCAAAACCAAAAACTGACGTACAACGTCGACGTGAATACACAGTGACATCTGACGTGGAACTGACGTCATGAAATCACATGTAATATTACACCAGTTTTTCTGTTAAAGTACTGTGAAGTACTCCTTAGGTAGCAATTCATTTTCCACATCATCCAGTTTAAATCACACATTTACACCGATTTTTAACCGATTCGCTATTTATCGTTACATCCCTACTACAGAACCAAAATTAAAATAAAATAAAAAAAGCACACAAGCATAACTAAATTCCCTTTCCCAGCTGCTGTGCTTGTTTAGCAGCAAGCTTCTGTTCTCCTGTCTTCTGACATCATTATGCCATTTTCAGCGCTGAGCGGACAATCAGGTGATGCCAAAAAATGAGGTCACACTTGGTGCTACATCATCCCACGCCTGCTTCATCTCGAAAGGGTTAGGTGGAACAGTGCTGCTCCCGCAGCACGAGCACATCTGTTTCACCAGGCGAAGACTGATCTGGTTTGCTGGGCAAACACGCCATTGTAATAGCAATCTGCTGTAACTCATGCACTCCTGCCTTTCAAAGGGGAGGTGATGTACCATTCTGATTGGTTTATTGCATGTTACTTGCAAAACACACCTCTGAATAATTTAGTTAGGATAACCGTTTTGCGCCTGGCATTGGCAAAAAGTCTTTTTTTCGCCGTCAAAATAGCTGAATGGATTTGGACATGCCGATAAATATTAGCTGCGCCTTGCGTTCTACGCTTTGTGTTAGATCATCAAAATAGAGCCCTCGGTGTATGGAAAAACTTTGGACTGGTAGTGTACCTTGTTCTGTCTGTGATCCCCCAAGCGTGCAATGCAGTCTGGCACAGAAAAATGTATCGTAATACTACCCAACTGGCAACCCTTGTGACCTTGGAATTGTGAGTGGATGCATGTGCCCTTGTGTGCGTGTGTGTGTACCTTTTGTAATATGTGTCTGTCTTGCCTACACTGAAACCTGATCGTCGGAAGACTTCTTTGCGTTTCCAGCCTTCTCCCAGCACAGGCCAGTCCAACCAGTCGCCGTCTACATCAGTACCCCGCCGCCTGCGTCGGAACCTGTCACGCAAGGACAGAAATGGCCATTTAATTTGATACGCTCAGTCCTTCATTAAGCCAAAAATACATTCAAATTACTACAAATATCATACATATAAATTCTTTAAGGACTTTCACACTTTCTTACTGCAGCCGAGATCACAGACAGGTCAAGTTGTTTACTGCCACAATCGGTTATCATCAGATAATCTTGCATTATACCATAATCACATTTTAATAAGCACCATTAATGGTTTTAATTATTGTAAAAGGTAGCCTATTTGAAGGACACCACTGATAATTTGGGAAATTCACGTTTCATAAGGCATTGCAGTCTGCTCATTGTAAAAGATCTACGATCAACCTGCTTGTGCATTCTGAATGTGTCTTGCCATCCTACATTTTATACAAAATAGGAAAAAAATGTAAAAGGCGTGTGTGATATGAGCCTACACACATACATTTCCTTGATCACACCCACCTGAGATGTGGATCAAACATGGCTTATTAACTGACATGAATCTGACCACCCTGATTGATACACTTACACTGCTTAACAGCTCATTATCTATCCATCCAACTACTTATCCAGCACATGTTCACAGTAATTAGCTAAACATATGTATTATGCTTGTGTGTGAAACATTATTTAGCAGGCTAAATCTGTTGCTACTTTGATAGTATTATTACATTTAAATGGCTGACATTTACAGCTACCAGTGAAGCTCAATATTGATTTTTTTCTCCTCAAACAATCACACTCAGACACTTCCTATCTAACGTAGCTGTCTGATAAATAAGATTATGTAGGACAAATCTAAAATAATAAGAAAGCAAATAAGCCATTCAAACTAAAAACAGAAAAAAATCTTTGTACCATACAGGAATCAAATAAGCACTTCAGGACATCTACTTACCGGCCATTGCTGTTCATTTTCAGGGCATTCTTTTTGTCCTTGATCACAGTCTGCCTTTTTCCATTTACCTGCCTCCGTCGTCTAAGTGGGTTCACCTTCCACATTTGGTTGTCAAGCTCTTCGGCATCGTCGTCTTCCTCCAGGGGCTCCAGCCAGTCTCTGGGAGGCTGATGCAGGGCATTCGATTCACCGCCCACGGGGTCTCCTGATTCTGCTCCCGCATCCTCCTTGTGGTTGAGGGGCCCGATATCCATGACCTCTGTACCTATGGAAGGCAGCTGGCTCCCAAGAAGGACAGATTCCCCCAAGCTCCTCTCCATGCCGTTACATGACACCTGCACTCCCTTATCTCGCGCTACTGCTGCTACATTGCACACCTGCCCAAGTGCTGTTGAATCTTCTCCTCCCATAGTTTCTTCTCCAAGGCCATTCTCCTTCATAGATTGCGCTGAGAATGCCTCATTCATTTCCAGTTTCCTGTTTCTGCCGTGATGGTCTCCAAGGTCTTGGATAGACTCATAAATCCTCAGGACCCTATCTTCTCTGATGCCTCTCCAGCGATTCACAAGTCCCCTAAGCCCTTCATCTATACTAAAGACGGTGCTTTTGGCATTCAGTTTACATTTAGAGTATGTAACAAAGTCTTGAGTTGTTTGGTTATATGTGCTCTTAAGGATTTTCTTTCCATAACGCCGGCAAAATCCTGAAGGAAGGAAAATATCAAGCCTGAAAGGGAAAGAAGCAATAAATAAAGTACACTTAATGCAGTAAGACGACACAAATCCACAGCTGAATATTCACTACCAGTCTGATACATGGACACACCGGATTAAATGGCTATTTTTATTAACAGTAATTACATTATAAGCTAAAAGGCTGTTCAGTGTTTTTTCCCCCCAAGACAATCAAAAATAGTAACATTGATGCCCACTACAGAAGGATACTGCAATGGCACAGAGTCATAATGTAGATCATTTTAGATTTTCTTTGTGAAAACACAAAAAAGTGTAAAGATCTATAATGATGAATTGATTACCAAGACTGTAATATCATAATCAATTTATTTTTGGGGCCAAAATCCTCCTTAAAACATTCTAGTTTTGGGCTGCAAGCTCTCGCCCTGGAGGTAGATGTGCAAAGTAGCAGAGCTGACATGTGAATTTCTGAAATGTGGGATGGCAGGGGGAGAGTCATTTATATTCGTAAAGCAAGTGCTATGTGAAAATCTTTGGGCTGCTTTGGCCCTATTCACACTTGGTATTAACATGAATCCTGGGTGATCCAATCACAAGCGGACAGCGCTAACTACGTCACTTCACACTCGGTATTAACATGTGTCTCGACTGATGGCTTTTAATTGGATGCCACTTTCCCGAACCTTATTTAAATAAGCACATAAATCACTTCCGTATGCAGAATCTGCTGAACATTAAAAGAAGAATAAATCAATTTCTACATTCCAGGGTAGCCAAACGGCCTAAGATGTTTGTAATAATTGCCATATCACTCAAAAATAAAGAAATACATCTATAATTAATTAATTAATCAATAGATAAATTAACATTTCAATAATTAACGTGCCCTTTTATTTTTAAATAATTCCACTAAGGGTATTATAATTCTTAACGTTCACCTTTAAAGTTTACGTATAATGTTGAAAATGTATGACTGGGACTGAATTCCTGACCGGGAGTTCAAGCCCCAGGACAGCCTAATATAAAACTATATAAATACTATTATATGTTTCTATTAACATATCCATTATTTAGGCTATTGAATGTGCATTCTTACCTACACGCTTTAATTTTGCATTTATGTAATTTTCACTGGCACATTTCACCAATATTAATAATGCATGGAACAGCTTTGACATAAATAAGGAAGCTTTATCAAAGTGTGCAATAAATATATGACACTTTGACAACGTTTCTATGCAAATGGGTCGCGATAGTCCGACATTAAGCAAACTTCAATAGAAAAACTAATTTTTTGGTGATGTAGAAAAAAAAAAAGCATCGTTGTTCACAATGCAGTTTACTACACAGTGGCTTATTCTGCACTGACATACGTTCTGATATGTCATATGTCAAATATGGATTGCGTGTTTAATGCGTACATACGTATGTACTTCTGCCCACACAAGGCCGTCAGTTGAGTAGGCGGTCCTTCAATTCGGCCCGGGACACATTTGTGTTCACACTGCTATAAGAATATGGCCATATGCATCCAAGACCACCTCCGAATGTGGTTTGAGTGACCGGATCTCGATGCGTTTTGGGTACGTTCACACCTGTATTTAGTAGAGGTCGACCGATATTGAATTTTACCGATACCGATAGCTAGGTTGGTCCGTACTTGCCGATAACCGATTAACCGATAGTTTTTAAAATGGATACTGGATTAAAAAAAAAAAAAAAA